AAAAGTGGTTAAAGCATGGGTAAAGTAACATTAACACATATCGAAATATGCCAAACATCAACAGTCCTCTGTGACATGTCAGAATTCAGATATCCGAAGGACTCATTATGATAAGATATGATAATCTAATAAAATGCACCAGGCTGATAGCTCTATACGAATCAGAGAAAGTGAACATCGAGGAAAGGCTGCAAAAAGCAGAAGAGTTTCGTATTTCTCTGTTTTATCTAGTGACAAATGATAATATCCTAATGAGAGTAAACAGAATTCCTCAAAAATCTTCCAATAAGCAAATGCAGATCAAAGACCAGAAATGAGGAGTGCTGACACAGAGAACACATTGATCAAACAACAACAACAACCCAGTATAATCCCACTAGTGGGGTCTGGGGAGGGTAGTTTGTCTGCAAACCTTACCCCTACCCTGGGGTAGAGAGGCTGTTTCCGATAGACCCTTGACTCCCTCCCTCCAAGAACTCCCCACCTTGCTCTTGGGGTGACTCGAACTCACAACCTCTTGGTTGGAAGTGGAGGGTGCTCACGACCAGAGCAACCCACTCTTGTCCGAACAACACATTAATCATGAATCAAAATAACATTCTTCAACAGCTGGGAATTTGGTCTAGTGGTATGATTCTCGCTTTGGGTGCGAGAGGTCCCGAGTTCGATTCTCGGGATGCCCCATTTTATTAAAAGAACATTAGTCTTAAGATCTGACAAATCAAAAAGCCTCTGTCGTTTCTTCTTTTTTAAATAGAAATTTTATTTTACATAAGCAGTGCAGATACAAGGTAACACAACATGCATCTAAAAGAATACCTACTCAATGCCCTATTTAATGAATTAAACTTCTATAGGTATAAATGTGGCAGGTTTGAGCAAGTAAGATGGGCTGGTTTTGCACTTCTTGCAGTTCATTCCCACTTCCCTTCTTTACTTATGAAAAGTTTTTTTTAGCAATTTGTAGGTCAATTTGTTGGTTATGTCTTTGTAACTACTGTAAATTTGTATACTCGGCTTTGTATAATAATCTCTGATGATTTCTCACAAAAAAATTGTCATTCTTCTAGACAACAAAATGAGAAACTTCCAGCTATCATTCAGATTGTAACTGAGGGATCATCAACAGCTGGGCATTTGGTCTAGTGGTATGATTCTCGCTTTGGGTGCGAGAGGTCCCGAGTTCGATTCTCAGAATGCCCCCCTAATTTTTGAGTACTCTTTTTAATCCTGAAATTTTGACAGCAACAAGTATTCTAAGGATAAGGTAGGATTTGTATTTTATGGAAAATGAGGTATGTGATATTTGTTTCCTGCCAGAACAATCTCAGAGTGGGAAATGGAGGTATGAAAGGGTGGAATTTTGGTGAATGGACAAAAAAATCCTTAAATTTAATGTGGTGGCAACAAATAATAAGGGTATTTTAGGAAAACCAAATATGCATACATTGCTAACCTACTACAACCACGTTTTGTAGTAGGTTAGCAAAACCCTATATATAATCAAATTGTCAATGCAGACAACCTAGAGTTAATTCTTCTTTAAGGGTCTGTCTGGAAAACCGCCAGGTAATTGGAATTTGTGTAATTACTATGGTAGTAATTACACAGCCTAGTAATTACACAGTATTATAATTACAACGACATGTTTGTTTGTCATAATATAATTATAGTGTAATTATAAGTGTACTGTTTGGTTGCACATGTGTAATTACACAGTTATATTAAATTTTAAATATAAATTTAATTATCAAAAATTAAAAATTAAAACAAAATATGTCTTGATATTTAATCTGGCATTTAAGGTATATATTATTTCTTGAAAATATATTAATTGACATGTATTTTCAAATTAATAATATTTTACTTTAATTAATTATAAAAACTAAAAGTACATATTATGTAAGAACATCATGGATTGTATGCTTGATAAAAAGATTAATATTTATAAATATAATGTCATATCAATTCCAACCAAAAAATGAATGGTATGCAATCTTAATTAATAAGTCAACACTACTAAACCAAATAAAATAAAACCGAAAATATTACATAAATTCAAAATCCAATAAAAAATTAACATAATACTCTATTGTAAAATTACAACATAACATAAAATAAGTTTCAACATAATTTAAGTAAATATAATTCAAAAAAAAAAGGAAAACATAAGTCTATAACCTCATTCAACAGTGATATTCTAATTTATGACATCACTTATTATATGCCAAGTTTATTAATGATTCATTATTTCTAATATTAGGAGGTGTAGTTTCAAAGCTAGAATAATAACACAATTATGCTAAATGAAGAAAAAAAAAGAAAAAACAATATGAGCAACTACATGGAATTATAAAATATAAAGGTTGAAAAATGAGAATATTATTTATATATTAAAAAATAATCTATCATTTTAAAATAGTTAAATTTGCATATAACCTCATCCAATAACAAAGTTCAACTTTAAAGACATCACTCATTATAAGTCAAATTTGTCGATGACTTATTTATCTAAGATTACGAGGTATAACTTTTAAAAAATATTAAACTAATAACATAGCCAAGTGTAATAATAAAAAAAATATTTAAGAAAGGAATAAAATATAAGAAATCATGTAGAAACACGTGAAGTAAAGGTTGGGAAATGAGAAATAAGGAAATAAAAGATAAATAATATAAAAAGAATAATATTTGGAAAAAAAAGAATTTGAAAAGTTAAAATAAAAATAAAGTAGAAAGAAAAAAGAATAGAACGAAAAAGTAAATTAGAAAGCAAAGAAAAGAGATTAAAAAAATAACCATGTAATTACACCATGTAATTCTCAGCCACCTTAAGGATTGGAGACTGTAATTACACCACCTCAATTACACCCAATTACAAACATGCCAAAACTGTGTAATTACACCCAATTACACCCAAATCCAATTACATGGTGGCTTTCCAAACAGGCCAAAAATTCCTATTCAGAATGCATTCTCATTGTAAGTCAACTAACTTTTCAGCCAAATTCATTTTTAATATCAAAGAACACTAGGTAAACTCATCTGGATCTAAAATCTAAAAAATTTAAAAAATAAAAATAAATTAGAAGAGACCAACTAAGTTAAAATCCATTGGATCTGAACGAACAAATATAAAAATAAAACATGATTCAGTGAGGCCAGCTGATTTGTGCTCCCCTACCACTTTACCAGATCTGAAAGTCCAAAATCCACATAGAACTCCTAAGTGATACAAAGGAATTGATTGACACAAGGTGCATCTCAACTATGACAAGTGAAAGTCTTGAGATAAAACAGTTTTACATTTTCAATTTAAGAGAGTAAACAAAGCCTGAGAACTGTTAGTCAGCAAATGTATGTTATTGCAGTTTTGCCTTTGTTTCAATTAGAGAAAGTAGACAAAACTAAGTGACAGTTAGCAAATATATTTGTCCTTCAGCAGAGATTCATAAACAGGTTCATTTTTATGGATCATGGAGGTAAAAAATAATGGCCGAAATTATCGATCTATGGCAGAAAAGTGTTGCCAAAAATCAAGGATTGCTCTAGTGGTATGTTGTCTGTTTGGCGTGACAGCTCAGATGTTATTTTGTGAGCCAGCTTACTTATAAGGAGCTGCAAAATAAAAGACAAACAAGAATAACAGACCTTAATCAAGAAGGTATCTGAAATAATCTAGAAATCAGAGAAAAAGAAAAGCAGAGCCAATGTTTTCCTCTTTATAGTTCCTAAATTAGCATGTTCTACTTAAGCAGTGACTTCAACTAAAATTATGGGGCAAAAATAAGATACATTAAATCATCTAATGCCAGAAATCTTATTTCATCACCAATAACAGTTCTTTGCGACATTTCTGAATTCAGATATCCAAAGGACTTGGGTTGATAAGAAAGGATTTCTGATAAATATACCAGGCTGATAGCTCTGTAGGAATCAGAGAAAGTGAACAGTAAAGGAAAGGCTGCAAAAGCAGAAGAGTTAAGAACTCTCTCTGTTTATATATTAACACTATCCTATTGAGAGTAAACAGAATTCTTTGAAATCTTCGGCTATGCAAATGCAGATAAAACGTCAAAATACGGTGTCTAAAGATTCTATATTCAAGGAATGATATATTATGATCGAGTTATTGCTGACACAGAGAATAACATATTGATCATGAGTAATGACATTCACAAACAACTGGGCATTTGGTCTAGTGGTATGATTCTCGCTTCGGGTGCGAGAGGTCCCGAGTTCGATTCTCGGAATGCCCCATNAGCAGAAATCATAAGGCATTTGTGATACGAGGATAAAATTCACCTTAGAGTCATGTATATACGATACAGTTAAACTGGATAAAATTCATTAGTTTATGAAATAATATTTCAGCAGCAACTTTAACAAGCAAACTATATATATATATATAATCCAAACCGTCAATGCAGACAGCCTAGACCTAATTCTTCCTTGTACATCATAATCCTCGACTTTCAGAGCTTTCATTATTTTCTGTCTAGTTTGCATTTTAATTGTAAGTCAACTAAGACTTTCAGCTAACTTACATTTTTATTATCACGTGTCAATTAAAGATTCTTCCTAATCTCAAAGAGAACACCTAAGGTAAACTCATCAGGATCTAAAAGACAAAAATAATAAATCATGATTCTGCCGAGCATGCTGATTTGTGCTCACCTGCCAGTTTACCACTTAGCAGGTCTGAAAGTCAAAAATACAACACAAAACTCCCAAGATCAGCACAAGGAGCATATCAATGTTAAGTGAACGTTATCAAGGTTTTTGCTTAACAGCTTTGCCTTGGTTTATTTGACAGAGCAGGCAAAATGAGAAGTGACAATGAGCATATGCTTTCGTCTTTGCAGTTTTGCCTTTGTTTCCAATTAGAGAAAGTAGTAAAAGCTGAGAAGTGACAATTAGCTAATGTATCTGTCCTTCAGCAATGATTCATCAACAAGGCTCATTTTCATGGATCATGGATGTCAACAATATTGCTAGCTTAAATCATTGATCAATGGCTGGTGTTACCAAACCAAGCATTTCTCTACTAGTATGTTGCTGTTTAAGGCAAGAGCTCATTGATTTTTCAGCTCCAATCAGGAGGAAGATTGTTATCCCTAGCTGATGAATCATATAATTATTGTTTACTTGAGCGATGAATCGTGAACATCACAAGGTTCATGTTGCTTTGTGACGAAACTTACATACAATGAGCAGCAGAATAAAACACAAACAAGAAGAAAACATACTAGATCATTCGAGAAGGTGTCAAAAATAATCACAGAATAAGAGAAAACAAAAGGGAAAGCGCAAGTTTTCCTCTATATCATTCCTAAACTTGGTATCATCTACTTAAGTTGCGACTTCAACACAAATTATGGGGCTAAAACATGAGGCATTAAGCTATCTATAGCTTGTGACATGTCCCAAAGGATTGAGTATGATTAAAAAGGACTGAAAATATTATGCACCAGAAATAATCAAAGCTGATAGCTCTTTAGGAATCAGAAAAAGCCGAGCATCAGAGGGAATGGTGCAAAGAGGAGGTTAAAACTCTCTGTTTATCCACTAACATTATTCTAAGGGTGTCAGCATAAGTTCTCAAAAATATTTCTCAGTAAGAAAATGCAGATCAATAGGTATGAAATAAGAAGCTGAAAGGTTATATATTTGCAATGAAGCATGTCATTTATAATTGAGTCATTGCTAATCACTGGAAAAGCGCATTGATCATGAGTCAAAAGTCAAAACACATTATTCAACAACTGGGCATTTGGTCTAGTGGTATGATTCTCGCTTTGGGTGCGAGAGGTCCCGAGTTCGATTCTCGGAATGCCCCATCTTTTTTGATTGAATACACATAATAAAACTAGCCTTAAAATCTGACAAAATCCCCCATCTTGTTTTGATTGAGTGCACCATTAATCAATCACTTTTTGTTCCTTTTAACAGAAAATTTAACCTTAAATCTGAGTATCTGACTCCCCCTTAAGAAACGAGTGCAGAGGTAAGACAGTTTTTTATCTGAATGAATTCCTACGGATTGCTCTATTTAGTGCATTAAACTTCTAAATGAAGAATCAAAACAAATGTTGTATGTTTGAACCAAGCACACACCTTTATCTTCATGTAATTCTAGAGGGGTTAAGAGAAGTCACTTTAATAGTAACACTATAACAAAAATATGGATAAATCTGTGGAATTTAATTTTTTTTTTCAAATTTATTACTCTTAGCTTTTTCCCTTTTATTTCTTTTTATTTTGAGCTAGGCAAATGCAGCGTTTCAACAGAAGTGAACAGACTGTTCGGCATCTAACTTATGCAAGGATGTATTTTCAATTCAGAGACTACTATTCCAACAATTTGCATATGTCAGTATATTCAGCATCTCTTTATATTAAATTGGGAACTTCATGGCCAAAAAAAACTTTATGCAATCAATAAAAAATCACCACAGTAATCACAACACAAGTGACCCGCAGATTGTTTAATGCATATACCAATAAATCATAGATAAAATAAGCAATTTAACGGACACACAAGCAAAGAGAAATTACAGAGGGAAGAGAATAAAACGCAAGAATAGGGAATTTGGTCAAGTGTTATGATTCTCGCTTGGGGTGTGAGAGGTCCCAACTTCAGTTCTCGGAATGCCACACTTTTAGGTGCCCAATATTTTGATGTGACGAATGCCTACTTTTTAGAACCAAATATTTGACCCTAAACATTGGCTAATGAGGAGCTCCTTCCCTACTTCAATTAAAGCTCGCTCCCACCCCCACCCCCTTCTCATATTTTTCCCCTCTATAGCCCCTCGCTCCACTCATTTTTGAACTTCTAATGAGACAAAGTAAGAATAGGGTAAAGATGAGACCCAAAAGGAAGAATGGAGATGCATGAAATAGGTATGAACTAGAGGTATGATTCTCACTTAGGGTGCAATAGGTCCCAAATTTATCACACAAATCAGAACTCAATCACCTAGCACTAACAATCTCAACTCTATATGCCTTTAATCTATGATTGAGCAAAGGATTAATTAATAACCTCAATTTTACTACTCAAGTGCACATTTTATACAATTGTCTGCTTCTAAAGGAGTGTTATCATATAGAGTAGCTAAACAACAGTATTAGATGAGAGTTGAGAGTTGACAGAATTGTAACAGTACTAACCAGAAAGCTGAAGAGGCGAGCAGAAGCAGAGAATGTTGGTTGCAATTCTAGGCTTGCAGAGAAAGAATTTTCGAGGATTTAAAAATAATATTTTCCTTCGGAATTGTACCCAAAAGCGTAAGCTGTGCGCGTGCATAATTCAGAACTTGGATAGTTGGCTTCTGACATTCGGTCCTTTATTGCCTATTCTGTACTCTCAATTTAGGTGACACTCCCATCAATTTTATATGACAACTCACTAAATTGAGTAAAATAAAAATTAATTAAAAAAATATGTTATTTTTTTAAACGGACCAAGAAGAAAAGTATGATCTTACTTTAGTTTTTTTTTTTTACTATTTTTAACCGTAGTACTTGTGTTAGAATAAAAATTTCAAAACTTCTTCTTTTTTACATAATAGTTGGGACAAAATGAATAAGTTTTAAGCGTGTTGAAAATTTTAGAAAGAAAAATACCTCAACTTATTATTCTTTATGATCCATTTTACGTGCATTATTTTCTTGTTACTTTATTCAAAAAAAGAAGATATATATTTATTAGTGCGAGCCACACACTAAAATAAGAAAAATATTTGCTTTAGGCCCCAAAATTACTATCTAATATATAGTAAATAATTTGTATAATTATTTCTTATCAATGATAAAATTAATTTCCATATTAATATTAAATAACCTAATTTCTTCTTCTCATTAATTCGTATAACCTAATTATTAATTTTTTACCAATCTTATTTTGGATTTTTGTTGAATTCTTTTTCTCTATTTATTAGTTAGTCACTTAACTATATCTAATAATCCAACTTATCATTTTCTTTTACTCTCATAAATTAAATACTTTTTGGTTCTCTCATTTCAATTGTGATGTAATCAAACACACAAGTAATGCAACAAACAAAATTTACAATGTTTAATTCATTTATGTTATTATACTTCATAAAATCATGTTTTCACTTTTTTCATTCCTCATACTCAATTGCCTATTTGTCAAACAACAATGCTTATTAAATATTTTATAAAATACAGAGACGACTCAATAGCATCGGAGGCCTAAATGATAGGTTTAAGGTTTTGCTTTAGGCCTCCATTGCTATTGAGCCGTCTCTGTAATTTATATTTGGATATTGTTAGAATTTGTTGACTTAAACCTATCATGACATAATATGATTCCATTCTCCGGACCTTTCATAACGTGAGCGCAAGATACTTTTTGTACTGGGCTGTCTTTTTATATATTATATCAAACACTAAAGAATAAATTGAAAGGGGAGGAATATATTTAAGCTCCCTTGTCCATGTACTCGACTGAAAAAAGTTTAAGCATACTGAACTTGTGAATTATTGCACATTGAAACTTTTAGTACCAATAAAAAGTGTGAATTATTGCACATTGAAACTTTTAGTACCGATGAAAAAAAGAATGCAATTTCTGAAAAAGAAACTTTTAGTACCGATGAAAAAATGAATGCAATTTCTGAAAAAGATAAATAGACATGCGTCTGCGGGGAGTCGAACCCGGGTCTATTGCTTGGAAGGCAATTATCCTAACCGTTGGACTACAACGCTTGTTGGTGATTTCTGTAAGTATCATTTTTCTTATTTTAGATTTGATCTAATCGTTGCGAAAATGCTCTTTCTGATGTTCCACAAAAAAAAAAAAGCAACTCTTTCTGATATTTTTCCTTCTTAACCATACTCCATACTATCCACCATCATGTTATTCGTATATACTGCAGTCTCCAATAATGGTGTAAGTGGAAAGGCATGTAAAAACACACGATTTTATCTTTACTTGGTCATACCCAGTTAGAAAAGAATCATTCAAATAAGACCCATATTCACTTGATCATCGTATCCAGATTCAATAGAAAAGAAGGAACGCATTAATGCATTAGTTGTCTTGTAGTTTTCTAGTTATAGAATCATATAAAGTTTCAATAGTAATAGTAGTAGAACCAAAGTTGCCATTGTACGGTCCGATATATCGTTCTCAGTACTAGTCCTTATTTTCGTGTACCGGGACCTTTATTAGCTTCATTTTGATATTTTTTGATTTGCGTGCGTGGTTCTTGAGATGACTACGGTCAATATTTTGGGTAAACGATCCTGGATCAGTATTTTAATGATTCCATTAAATTCATATTGTGATTTTGGACTTGGTCGTATGCCTGAAATTGAATATGGAGGTCCTTAGATTGATTTGACTTGTTTTGCCGAAAGTTAGTAATTTGAATGTTTGAAAATTCTCTAGGTTTCACCATAGGTTGACTTATTGGTTATCGGCTTCGAATTTAGGTTTTGGAACTTGGAATAGGTCCATTTTTCTATTTGAAATTTGTATGCAATTTCGAGTTGGTTTGATAGGAATCAGACGCTTGGTTGTGATTCTAGCTACTCTTGAGTTTCCTTTTGAATTTCATATTTTTTGATGTTCGATTTGTGATTCTGGATATTATTTTGGTGTTTTGATCACGCGAGCGAGTTCGTATGATATTATTATACTTATGTGCATGTTTGATTTTGAGCCCAAAGGGCTCATGTGAATTTCGGGTATGTATCAGATGAGTTTTGGATGACTTGAGATAGCTGGTGTGCTTTCAGTTCTGGTGTTGATCTGCAGATGTTGCATTTGCGAGGTCTGACTCGCAAATACGAGCCTCTCCTTTGCGAATATGAGTTTGCATTTGCGAGCAGGGGCCTGGGCTCCGTGACCTTGCATTTGCGAGGAAATGGTTCGCATTTGCGAACAGGCTAAGGCCGTTTTTGTGAACATCTTGGTCGTATTTACGACCCGTAGAAACTTAGGTCAGCTTCGCATTTACAAAGCTTTGGGCGCATTTGCGATGGGGGCACATTCGCATTCGTGATCCATTTGTCGCATTTGCGACTTTTGGGCATCTGACGTGCTGATCGCATTTGCGATCCGTATTTCGCAGTTGTGGTGTTCGCAATTGCGATACCTGTAGTTGGGTAAAAAGGGAGGGACTTAGCTCATTTTACACCATTTCTCAACCCTAAAAAACTGTAGAGGCAATTTTTTAAGAATTTCGTCTTCCTCATTACTTTTCATGAGTTTTTAACATCAAATCTAGGATTTCCATGGTAGAAATTAGGGATTTGGGTAGAATTTGAGGATTTTGCAAAATTGCAATTTAGATCGCTAATTAATGTCAGATTTCAAAATAAATTAAATAACTGGGCTCAAGGGTGAATGAATAATCAGATTTTGGTCTGGATCTCATATTTTGACCAAGCGGCCCCCTGGTTGACTTTTATTGATATTTTCAAATTCATCAAAGATTGCACCTTTTATCATTCGTGTGTAGTTTCTAAAACTTATTTTGAATTGTTTGAATGATATTTGGCTAGATTTGGTTAGTTTGGAGGCTTGTTCGAAAAGAAAAGTCGTGGTTGATTGTTGAGTTGGTTGCGCAAAGAGGTAAGTATTATGTCTAACCTTAACTTGAGGTAATTAGGACTTATTGGTGTATTTATAATGTGAATTATATGGAAAAAAGGCGTATATGCAAGGTGACGAGTGTATATGTGCCATCATTGGATTAAAGCATGCGGGATTGTTCTATTTACTTCCATATCTTCATTTATCCCATGTTATCTCTTATTATATACTTTAACTGCTAAATATTCTTACTTGATATCTATGCTTTACTTGTTAATTATTATTTACTTATTACTTATTTTGATTTGTTCATTCTCACTCAATATTTGCATACTTGCTACATGTTCTTACTTACTTTAATTGTATATTCTCATTGTCACATGTTTTTACTTGCTTTATTACCCTTATATTACTTGATGCACTCTATTATGTTATTTCGACTACGTGAGCCATTTAGTTATTCTTGTGTTGATGATTATCAAGGTTTTAGATTACGAGGTGTTGGATATTCTCCGTTTGTATTGGTAGTTCCTTATTGTTCTGCATGTTTCATTTCTCTTTTGTGTTGATATTTCATAAACAGTGGTGTTGAGTTGTGTATGTTAAATAAATTAATATTGGAGAATCGGTTTGTGCGCCACAACGGTATTGAAAGGAATTGATATTGGGGGATCGAGTTGCACACCACAACGGAACATGAAATGATATGATATTGATATTAGGAATGAGATGTACGATGTATAAGATATTGTGTTGAAACTTGGGATCGGGTTGCACGCCACAACGGATTTGATATGTTGTTGTTGTTGTTGTTGTTTGTGACTATAGAGTATATTCTTGATATTATGATACGAGATTTGAGATTATGTTATTCTGGGGCCCTCTCGTAGTTGACCTTCGGGTCTGTTTATATGAGTTTATTGCTTTATTTATAGTTACAGGTTTATTGTGAGTGACTTGCCTTAGCCTCTTCACTACTTCGTCGAGGTTATGCTCGACACTTGCAGAGTACATGTGATCGGTTGTACTCATGCTGCACTTCTGCACTTCTTATGCAGATACCAGTGCTGTTCCTAGTAGTGCGCAGCAGAGACTGCTCAGATTCATCTGCTTTCGGAGATTTGAGGTAAAGCTGCTGGCATTCGCAGTCCCTGAAGTCCCCTTCTACCCTATCTTTACTGTTTTCCTTAATCCGAACAAGTGTAATTCGTTCAGACTTTATCTGTAGAACTTTAGTATGCTCATGTATTCGTGACTCCAGATTTTTGGGATATGTTTAGACTACTTTACGTTGTATTTATCACATCTATTTCAGACTATTACAACTTCGTATTACTAATGCTCTGTTTTATATTGTTAAAATTAGTTAAGTAATTAGCTAACGTTGTCTTCCTAGCAAGTGAAATGTTAGGCGTCATCACGACCCCGAGGTTGGGATTCCGGGTCATGACAAGTTGCTATTAGAGCCCTAGGTTACCTAGGTCTCGTGAGTCATGAGCAAGCTTAGTAGAGTCTGAAGGATCGGTACAGAGACGTGTGTACTTATCTTCTAGAGGCAATAGAGCTTTAGGAAAATTTCACCTCTTTCTTTCTCTATCATGTGACTTTATCTATTACTAAAGATTAAACCATTCTATTCTTGTTCTCTCGCAGATGGTGAGGATACACATAATATCTACAGCTGGGCAGGAGCCAACGCCCCATGTTACAGTCACTACCAGGGGTAGGGGCCGAGGCAGAGGCAGAGCTCAGCCTAGAGCACATGCAGCA